TTTTTATTTTTAGTTTATTGTTTGTCGGTATTGTTTATATTGCATTATATGCAATTATACGTCTGATAAAAGAAATTATAACAAAAATATAATTACGTCTGATAAAAGAAATTATAACAAAAATTAATTATCAAGTAACAGAAGATACAGTTTGAGAATGCATAAAATAAATTATAAAATAGAAATTAAATTATCGACAAATAAATTTTAGCTGGCACATGTTATATGGTGAATGATTTAGAACATTCAATCAGTATGTTAGCAGTCTTTAATTTGTTGCTTTATTGCATTTTGAAATCTTTAGATTCAACACGTAAGCGCTTTATTGTTACATACTCACCAATTTAAGAATTTTAGAGCAATACTAGCCACTGTTTGTATTGACACCATTTTGAAAAATATGAAATATTAGCACAAATCTAAATTTAATTCACTAACCACCACTATTTTTTTTAATTTAACCTGTTCCTAATCAATGCCTCAATTCAGTGATGAAACCACATGAAATGAGCACTTGTTACCTGTGCGTAATTTATCTACGTTTCACTTGATAACAATTTCATGATAACACAATATTACTATCTGTTGGCCGTAAATATTGTGCAAGTGTACAATTGAATTGACAAATCATTTGAGGAATACAGCTTTTAGGAATGCACTATACAAACTTTAATAGGGTCATTAGCGAGATTTTTTAATTGCAAGAATTCATATATGATTCTTACTATTTCTGTTAAAAATAATAAGATTGATGAAATTTGAAATGATAATTATGAAACATATTACTTATGATGCATTACTTACCAAGGAATCGAAATCTGGACGAAATAGATCCAAAATCTAACATAATGTTATCAGGGTTAGTCTCCATAACCTTATTAATTATTTTTATATTTCGCAATAAAATTAGATGAAAACTGCTTTTTCTTCAAATAGAATTATTTTGTTGGGTACAGGGCAATTGGTTTCCAATATGTATTCATTATACGTTGTTGTTCTGCTGTTGTCTATACTTATTTATTTACATATGTACTTTTAGTTACTTTTTATACTTCAAATTTATTAATCCATAAAAAAATATTACATTCATTATATTATATTAGTCAAAGAATAAAAATTCACAATTATACTTTCAAATTCTTATCAAAGAATATGTTTTTCTCATTGCAATTAATGCTAATAATTAATTTCAAGGGCTTGCGTTGCCGTAAAATTTGTATTTTTGTCTTTTTGGAATTGCTTTTGATAAAGATCGATAATTAATTGTAAAACAAATTATTTTGATGAGACTTGTATGATGATAAGTCTAAAATGTATAGGCCTACGAAAAGTGATTTAAATATACTAAGTCATCACATTTTTGAAAATGGACCATGTCAAAATTTCAAATAATTATCCCCATATTTTTAAAGTCACTATAACTCAATTTTTATTGATTAAACTCAATTTTTATCACATGCGTACTTGCCTTATCGTAAATGCTACGTGTAACAGTTATTAATTTCATATGTTTTGGTGGTGTTGTGTAATATGGTATTAACATAATGCGTTTTTTATATTTTTAGGAACTGGGCCTTGCAATAACTGAGGAGCAGATAAAACAGATGGAATCTCATCTCCAAGATATTGATTATCCAGCAGTATCAGCTGAAGAGCGTTTGACACGCCATGATGTTATGGCTCACGTTCATGTTTTTGCTACTCAATGTCCTCTTGCAGCTCCTGTCATTCATTAATGATCATGCGCGATGCTTTGGATTTGCTTAATCGTCTGGGCTGGAGTGGTTAGAAGTTTAGAGATTTTGCTATACGTCATCGTTCCTTGCCAACCTTGGGTTACACACATCTACAAACCAGCTCAGTTAACAACTGTTGGCAAACGAGCAACGTTGTGGATGTCTGACTGCTGATGGACGAAAGAGCTCTACGAAGAGCAAGGGATGATTTGCGTTTCCGCGGAGCTAAAGGAACTACTGGTACCCAAGCTAGCTTTTTACAATTATTTGCTGGAGATGGTGAAAAAGTGAAACGATTGGATAAACGGGTTGCGGAATTGGCTGGATTTAATCGCTGTTATGCCGTTACTGGACAAACCTATTCTCGTAAAGTAGATTTGGAAATTGTTTCAGCATTAGCTAGCTTAGGTTCTACTGTACACAAGATGTGCTCAGATATTCGTCTTCTTGCCTCCAGAAAAGAGTTAGAAGAACCTTTTGAAATTACGCAGATTGGATCCAGCGCCATGCCCTATAAACGCAATCCAATGCGTTCAGAGCGTTGTTGTGCCTTAGCGAGACACTTGATATCTTTGCATTCAAATGCAGCTAATACTTTAGCTGTGCAGTGGTTAGAAAGAACTTTAGACGATTCCGCAAACAGAAGACTGACCTTAGCGGAGGCCTTTCTTTCTGCAGATGCCATACTTCTTACTTTGCTAAATGTATGCCAAGGTTTGGTTGTCTATCCTCAAGTTATAGCCAGACACGTTTCTCAAGAACTGCCTTTCATGTCTGCTGAAAATGTGATTATGGCAATGGTGAAAGCGGGTGGTGATCGACAGGAATGCCATGAACGGATAAGAGTTTTATCTCAACAGGCTGGTGCGCAGGTGAAACAATACGGAAAAGATAACGATCTTGTGGAGCGCATCAAGAATGATCCCTACTTTGCGCCAGTTCTCGGTAAATTGAATGAAATCCTGGATGCGAGTACGTTTACAGGACGGGCGCCTGACCAAGTACTGGAGTTTTTGGAAGAGGAGGTGAAACCAATACTCGAGTTATACAAAGAGAAACTTGACGAGCAACAGAAACCTATTACTCTCAATATTTAATATCTATATGATCGTTGTTAAATTTCTATTTTTGTGGAACAAGTTGTAAATATATAAATACAGTTACTAATAAATCAAATATTTTATATACTTATTTATTTATTCTATATATTTATTTTCAATCAAGATATATTTATAATATTATTTACGGCTGTTTTGTTATTTTTTTTATAGAGTCAACATTTCATAACTTTTTACTTGCTTGGCAAACTCGTCGTTCGATCATACAATAAAAAATAAAATCTAATCAATGTTCAGTCAACCTTCAATTTTATCCGTGATGTTAAATTTCCAATTTATTTTAACACTTCTGAATAAAATGATATTTTTTATTAAATTATAATCTTTCTTCACGTTACTCACAATCAGTAGTATGCCTTTTGAATTTTCATAAAATAAATTTGCACTCACTTTTTCTACTCGTTTTTTTACAATTTACTACGCAATAACTTTGGTGTCTCATTTTATTTAATTTGTTTAAATTTGACGTGTTTTCTTTTACAATTTCGTTTGCGAACACAATTTCAATCGATTTGACTCTACCATGCCTTCGCTCATAGCGTAGGTCTTCTCTATTTTGTGTTTGTTATTAAAAGTAGAAGAGCTTACATGTAAGTTAAATTATTGCGAATTCTTGGGGCAATTATGATATTTTTTCACTGTGGTCCTCGAAATATTCGCTGTTACATCTCCAATTATTGACCAAATATAATCCTGACCTTAACAAAGCTCTAGATTGCACTTAAAAGCTCATAATTTTCAAACGTGAGATATTTTTCTTTCTAATGTTTTACTGAACAGTTAAGGTCAATTTCTGTTTCTGGGACACCTGGGTGTATGTATATGTATATGTATATGTATATATATATATATATATATATATATGTGTGTGTGTGTGTGTGTGTATAGTGATACCCCGCATTTTACGTACTTAATTCGTTCCGGGAAGTTAAATTAATGAAAATAAAATCATCCGTTCTGTATTTTGAAATATGGTCATACATTTTACATATAATTAAGACATGTGAAAAACTATTACCAATTTGGGAAATAACCTATTATCGGTGGTACTGCTTCCTTTTTTGCCCTTTTAACTTCTGAATATTTAAACAAACTGTCGTTAGTTGTTCTTTTATGCTCTTTTTCAGCACCTGCTGCAAATGAAAGGTAAGCTCATCATTGTACAAGTTTCTGATTTTAGCACCAGTCATGTTTGAAAAGTAAACATTTGCGAATACCATTTGACCAAAAAGTCCTTTATGGATTTTATGAACTCAAAATCTGCTAACTGTTTTTTTTAGGTTTTTGATAATCCACATTCAAAATTTTTGGGGTGAATTTGAATAGCCCAATAACGAGAGGATTTAAATGTGAATTTTTTTGCCAACAAGTATATTTTCATAGCGTGACATAACTTTCCAAAGTCCAGTTTTTTAACTAATTTGAGCAACATATTTTTGACTGCAAATGACAACGGTGAAGACGTTGTGTGAAGCGAAGTTTGTTCTGCGGAACGTTCGCGCCCGAAAAAAAAGTTTGTTATATATATATATATGTATGTATTTATATATTTCCATGCATTAAAATACGTATCAGAATTGAATTAATTTCATTTTATTTGAATTGAAAATTCGAAAAATTATTTTAAAAGTGAACACAATAATTGAATGTATACCAGTCATTACCATATTCGGCTAAAGCAAATATATAATCATTATTTTTAATGGTTAAAGTACAACACAACATATTTTAAACAAATATTTAGCAAACTGTCATTTTATATTATCAATCCAAACAATCGAAGCATTATGAATTAGTATTTATGAAAACCCAAAAACAGTATAAAAAAACTAAATACTCAAAAAAATGGTATTATTTATGTGTTACTTCTTAAATTTTCTTTCTTTTAACGTGCAAATGTAAGATTAACAATTTAAGGCAAAATTTGTTCTTATTTTTACGTTTTTTTTTTTAAATATAGTTATGCCAGTTAACAGTTAGTCTGTGGAAAATAATAGTTAAAATGCGTTTGTATAAGATTATATTTATTCATATTTTGAATTTCGCGCCTTTAATATCCAACTTCATGTTATTTTTAGATTCAAAATGGCTGAAGAACTGCATGTTAACAAGTGTCAAATTATGCACTCGAAAATGTGAATTGCATTGCAGATCAGTACCGCGACATTCAACAACGGGCAAGAGTGCGCTCCATGAGTGGACACTTAAGTGATATAAATATATGTTTAATTTTATTTCGTTCAACTACAGCGAAAATGGTGCGTTTTTGGCTAAGAGTGATAAATAATGCTGAAAGTGGTTAGAGGTTAGAAGTTTTTTCTTCCAATTTGAACGCCATAAAAAAATTAAGATTAAGTAGGTGTTATGAAAACTGAAGGAGTTCTATTGTGGGATAATATATTTGACATGTACTGCTGGGGAAGTACAATTCATGGGGAATTGGGTTTAGGAGGTGTAGAAAATGAACAGGTCTTTATGCTTCAAGATAAACATATTTTATTAATTTCAATTTTTAATAAATCTGTTCTATCAGGTTCTTACACCTCAACAATTGGATTGGAGTGGAGCGAGTTCTGTTATTGTTGCCGCTTGTGGATATACTCATACATTACTTTTAACATCATCTGGACAAATTTACTCTTGTGGAAGTAATGATTTTGGTCAATTGGGACATGACCAGCCAAGAAAAAGGCCACGTAGGTCAATCTTTAGTATGTGTGCTTTTACTTCTATTCTTTTAATTATTATTTTATTCTAGAAAAATTGATTAGTCTGTACTACAGCACACATACATCGTTATATGTTTTTAATCAGTCACACAAGTAACTGAACTATATTAATGTTAGATAACTGTTGCTGATTGCCTAATATCGATTGCAAGGAATTTTTTTGATATATTTTATAGAACAAACACCAATATGTACTTCATTTTTTATAAATAAGTTCATTATTGATAAAACACAGTTGCTTTTTCTCAATGTTAGTTTATTTTCCATAAAAGCTATTAGTGCACTTTTATGATAATGCTGACACTTCTAAAAATGTTAATAGAGTTTAGGAAAAATTTAATTTTATGAAATATTATATATTCATTATTTATTGTGACTATGTACTTTTATTCTGAGTACACATTCAATACGTATAGGAAAACTTCGATAAGATGGTATGAATGTAATAAAATATTTTCAATATGCCTTTACGTAAATTACATCTCTTTATTTTTTTTGTAGAACTGGTTGATGCTCTTGGAAATTCACCGATAAGACAGATATCATGTGGAGTTGCTCATTCCATGGCTGTTAATGAATGGGGGCAACTGTACAGTTGGGGCTCAGATTTTCATGGGCAACTAGGACTAACAAATAGTGAACCTATCCAGAATTCTCCTAAGATTATAAAGAAATTAGCTCCTAAGCACATTATACAGATATGTTGTGGAAAGAATCATTCCCTTGCCTTAGCTAATAGTAAGAAACTGTCCAGTTAATAATCTTTACTATTTTATTGGTATGATGATGGGGGCCTTCCATAGAATTGTTATCGCTCTATTTTTTTAATGAATGGTGTTCAAACATTGGTGGATGACATTTATTGTTTCATTTCCTTCAAAATTATTTTTGTTCCATTTTATGTATACAAAATAAATCATGATATATATTTAAGTATGAAGTGAATGTGCCACAAAGTTCAACAATTTTCAATTAGTTATCAATGTATTTTAATATACATTTAAATAATTTTTCAATGACATTAATGAACAAAGGCATTTGTTATAATAGCCTAGTGCTGTGCTATTCAGTTTTTCTTTCGGCAAAATAAATTGATTTAAAAAATGATTTTACATATTTAATGAAAGATGCGTATATTTTTTAATATGGCTTCAATCATAAATAGTGTTTTAATTACAGATGGAGAATTGTTCAGCTGGGGTGCAAATAATTTTGGCCAACTTGGTTTAGGTAATACATCTGAAAAGGTTTCAACTGCGACTCTCATAAAAAGTTTATATGGAATACCAATATCGTACATTGCTTGTGGTGGTGATCATAGTTTTGCAATTTCACGGTAAGTTTGATTTGGTATAATATTGTATCCACTAACTGTGAAAAAAATTGATATTTACATTGAGGAGGGTATCCTAGAGCCAAGATTTTTGAAAGACTCTGGAATTTTAGCACTGCATATAATCTGAGATTTATTTAATCTAGAATAATGCTGATGTCGTATGAACTATAAACAACTCAAAATAAAAAACTATATAATAGCTATTGCCTGAATATATCTTTTTATACCTTTTGTTTATATTCTTGAATTTTTGGATGACTATAAAGAAGGCTGTAAAAATTTCAAGTAAATTAGTTCAGTAGAAGTTGAGAAATTATGGGTGTCGTATTGTAAAATTTAGTTTTGCTGAGGAAGGAAACAGAGAAGGATTGTCATGGTCAAATAGCTATATCTCCGATAATAATTAAAGTTTTTAAAAATCCTCTTTTACACATTTTCTTGAATAATTAAACTTTAAAAATATGCAACAAAATAAAATTGAAATTTTTTATATCCTAGACCAAAGTATTCTTAATTAATTTTTATTAGAAACCATTTACATTGTTTAATAAGATTTATTTGCAATAAAGCGTTACTTTGGTTTAAACTTTGATTATTAAGCTTCATTTAAGTATCATTTAGTTTTGTTTAACAATATAGATTGTTTAATTTTTTTATAAATTTTAGTAACATTAATTATTACACCATAGATCTGGTGCTGTATTTGGATGGGGCCGAAATGATTATGGTCAGTTAGGATTAAACGATGAACAAAATCGGTCATTTCCTTGCCAATTGCGCACATTAAGAAATATTCGGGTGACCCTTGTAGCCTGTGGTGAAGGATTTAGTGCATTTCTTACCTTAGATGGTGGAGTTTTGACTTGTGGAGATGGCAGCAATGGCCAATTAGGACATGGTAGCACTTCTAATGAGATATTGCCAAGAAAAGTAAGTTCCATATAACATGCTTTGATTGAAAATGAGTTTTGTTCACGTGTTTCAACGTCCATAATGATTAGTTTTATTTATACAATAACTTTACTTACAAACAAAAAGTTGCTAAAATACTAGGAGAACACAATTTGCAATAGTTTTGACTTATATATGAACAGAATGATGTCTCTTGAGAAATCCTTATCACAATCCATCTGATTATAGTTAGGGGCCGCCAATAATAATGTGAGGCTTTAAAAGGGGGAGGGTTTGACAAAAAATCACAAAATATCATGTGGGAGAGAAGGGTCGAGTAAGATATTCTAGTAATATTAGTCTATTTATTTGTACTTGACAAAAAATGTTTTCATAAATTATGATTTTTTTTTTTTTGGGGGGGGGGTTAATTTTCATATTTACCACGCATTAGGAAGTGGAAGGGGGTTGCAAAAATTCTTAAAAATCGATCACATGATTAATGGACGCCTCCTTATTAATTATAGTTTACTTAAATAAAAAATTACAGTAGGCATTAAATGCAATTCAAAAGTTATTAATTACAGGTGATGGAATTGATGGGCAGTACTATTACACAGCTATCTTGTGGCCGTCGTCATACTCTTGCTCTTGTGCCATCAAGAGGCAGGGTTTACGGTTTTGGTTTGGGTGGTGCTGGCCAGTTAGGTACACGTTCAGCTCATAGTGTTAATACCCCGCAGGTAGTTATGGGTCCATGGCTTTCACCAAGTGGAGTATCTCTAGTCCCTAATAATAATGTAAGCCATTTATTATTTTCACAACTAAAAGAATATTTGTATACTTTATATACTTATATATTACATTTGAAATTTTATTTTTATGAGTTTTAATACAACAATTGTACATTGTTGTTACATTTGTTATACATTTTCTATAGAGAACATGGTATAATCCAATCCAAGTCTTTTTTCGTCTTTCGACTTATTGATTACGTTTCAAGTCTTTCAGATTCTTTTTGGATTCTGGATTTTGTGTATAATTGTAAATAATACTACTGAGCTTATACAAAAATTTTAAATTTCTGCGAGGACAGATAGAAAATGAAAAAAGTATTTCTTCTTTGACCTGCTTCTTGAAAAGTTTCAAGTAACATTCAATGAATTAAAGTAAATTTAATAAAAAGTATTATGGATTTTCAAAGATTACTCTTTATCTCTCGATAGCAAAGTCATAAGAATCAAGGTTATAGCTGGTTATACATCTTTTACCCTCTACTTTCAAATATTGTTGTTAAACAATGCTTAACTTTACTGGTTTTTAACACATGGACCTTTTTAACCCCGGACCTTCATATATTACGATCTATTCTTCGATAAATTATGGGAAATTATAGCTGGGAAAATGTTATTTGACAAAATTTCCATTTGATCGATACCAAATTTAGGTTCAGAATTAAAATAACATAAATAAAAAATAATATAACCTAGCAAATGTTTTATAAATACCAATGAGTATATAATTATACAAATCAGACCTTTCAGAGCACCGTGTTTGAGAAAAATATGTCAAAAAGTGCTTTTCAAATTAACATTTCAAAAAAGTTGATATTTTGAGTTTCTAGTAACACTTGCGATCCGTTTAATAACGTTTTTGTGTATAAATAAAACTACAAATAAAACTATTTACTTCAATTTAATCATTATTAAATAATATTCACGTAAGACATCCTATCAAACGTAATTGAACATTATCTGTCAAAAACTTTTGACATTTGCCACCGTTCATTGTTTTATTTAAATTATGCTTCTACAAAAAATTTCAAATTGAAAATGTAAAGATTCTACGCGATTTTGAAATAATATCTCACCTTTCCGACAACCTACTGATTAGCACAAATTTTTCAAGACTAAGAGTGACCAAATCGGCTCAGCCGTTTTCAAGTTTTACTGAATCATTTGATCGAGAGCTCCATTGTTATATATAAGTATATATATATATATATATATATATATATGTATGTATGTATGTATGTGTGTATACAGATGTATAATAAAATATAAATGTATAGATGTACATATGTATGTAGGTAGATGTAGATAGATGTAACTTCATTTTGTTTTAGGAAGACCTAATAGTACATAGAATATTTGCTGGTGGTGATCACTGCTTCGTAACGGTACGAAAACATGGGGATGATGTCACATCAGAGGATTTACGTCGGCCCAATCCTGCTTTTCAAATTATTACTATTGACATTGAACAGATTACAAAAATGCTGAATATATCAAAAAAGGGAAAAGTAGAAGATGTGAGGCAAATATTTTCTTCAGATATAAATGTTTATAATTCAAAATAAATTATGAACATTGTAGGAATTGATCAGCTACATAGAAACTGTTTTTCGAAGTCAGGCATGCTTTAATGGCTCGTTTTTGCTGCCTAATTTTGATCACTTTTGTTGCACATCTAAACATCATGGAGTTGAAATTAATAGTGCACACAAGGCATTTAATAGTATAGCCTTACTTCACAATAGCAGATTAAAAGACTTGGTAAGTTTAATAAAAACATTGTTAATGTAATTTGTAATTGCTTGTTCTTTATGATGCACAATTTGATTGAAATAAATAATTTTAAGCCAAGCTGATACTTTTTACAAACTGCTTTGAATTTTAATATTTTACTTTATTAGTATATATAGATACTGTAAATCTTACTGTATACTATATCAGTTGTGATAATTGAAAATCAATTTTATTTATAGTAAATTATTACCCCTCCATACCATTCTCAACAATATCTTTTATACACAAAATTAAAATAAATATAAATTTTTCAGATTTTTGAATGTATTACTACAGATGTGATACCTTCCTTGTTACCATCTCCGCCTGATGTTGAAACATTGAGAGTTTATTTGGTACTTCCTCTGTATCACGAGTTTCTCAATGCAAAGCATTTCAAAGCATTACATGTGCCTTTTGGAAAAGCAGTTTTAGGTTTAACAAAGAATCCATCTAAAATAGTCATGAATTGGTGGGCTGAGCAGGGAAATCAATTTATTGAAAAGCTAATTACTGTTTATAAGGATGTAGTTCTATTTATATTAGATAGAGATAAGAGAAGAAATCCGTCCACTTTAAAAAAGGTAAGTATCAACGTAATTAATAATTCTTAAGAACATATAATATTAATTCACAGAACATGTTTTTTAGAATGGTTTCAGTTTTGTTTTTAACCAAAACTACAGTAGTACAATTGTTTATTCATAAGAGTGACTTCAATTTGTAACTATTATTAATCTGGCACTTTTTTTGCTTGATAGATTAGGCATCTATCTATCGAATTAACTTTAACAAACCAAATTTTCAAATTAACTGAAGCCGTATTGCATTTGTAGCAAGTGTAATTTTAATGACACGAATTTATGAGAAGCAGTCAGCATTCATTGTTGTACAAGTATTGACTATATTGACAATTATATGTTATATAAGATATAATAAGCAGTTTGAAATCTTGTAATTATATTTTGTTCCACCCACTTTTTGTTACGTTATTTTTAAATTTATCTTAAATGGAGGTGTAGTAAGACATCACTTTTTACCTGACTGATTTATTTTTTATCTGAATTTTAAAAAAATCCAAGATTAAAAAAATGTATTTAAAAAGTAAAGTGTAAATGTAATTTGATAAAAGAACAGTTTTTTGCTATGTATTGTAAAAGAATCTGGAACATTGCAAATAAGATGTTGTTTTGGCTAAATCTGACCCCATGTTATGTAGAATTATATTTATTATTTAACTAAAAAAATATTCTTTAATTTTTATTGTAATATAAATTTATAAACTTATAAAATTAATTTTATATAATCTTGTATATTATATAACAGATATGTGTTCTTAATAGGTTTTAGCATATGATCCAGAAATTGTTGTGGCTTTGGACATACTAAACCGATTGCATCATATGAATCGTGATAATAAACAGTTATCAATTTCACATGATCTTTTCCATATGCCTGAACTCAGCGAACAGTTTGATATACAAAGTGATTATATCAATTGGATTAGTGAAAATAATGTTAGTATATATGGCTCTACAAGGGTTTTAAATTTATGCTCAATAACAAAAGCCATAAGGGGGGCGCCTGCTTTAGAGGCTCCAAAAAGTCAATTTTTTTTAGAAAATTTTAGGGAAGAAAATAAATATTTAATTGAAACGAAATTTGAATGGTTTTCTTGTTATATATGTCAATATTTTTCTCAGTTTTTTTTAAATAAAATATGTCATACTATGCCGGGTACAAGCATTTTGTTGAGGCGTCTCGAGCGTGCATGTGTTGTGTAGCGAGAAAGATGTAAGGTCACAATTTCCATCCGAAACAAAAAATAAAAAACAAAACAAATTGATATTCTCAATAGTATAATGAGAATAAAAAATGATTAATTCAACCATTTTTTGCAACTTAAGAAAAAATATTTTTTTGGACAAAGAGTGGTTTAATTATAAATTTTATAAAGTTATTTAAGTTCAACTAGAAGAGATTTTATTCAGAAGAGATTTTAATCTTGAATACAATCAATTTTTCTCGTTTCGATAGGACGTTAAATTTTTATCCTATCTTTTCCCCAATAAGGAGAAACCGAAAAAATGAAAAACCGAGAAATCGCGCGTTAAATTTTCGTTCCGCTCGTAACCTGCTTGACGCTTGCACACTATTTCTTCTGTAACTCTGAAACTAATTTGAAGTGTTTTCTGAAATTTTATTGATGTACTCTTTGATAGTTTCGGAAGACATTTTTGCAAAAAAAAAATCGATTAAGCAGGTTCCTCCCTTAATGCATTAATTTTACACATCAATGAAGATGACAAAATTCAAGATATCTTTTAAACTAAACTCTATTTTTTATTTCAGCCTCACAATTTTTATTTCTGCAACTATGCATTCCTATTTGATGCTTCTGCAAAAACTCAACTTTTACAATTAGATCAAGCTTTGCAAATGCACACGGCAATGAATGAAGCAGCCACACAAGGATTATTTATGTTTACGAGTGGCATACCTTTTGCTGTCAGTCAATTCATCACGCTTGTAGTTTCACGTGAAAATATTGTTAATGATACTCTGAGGGAACTGAGTCACTATGGACCACAGGATTTGAAGAAACCATTAAAAATTAAGTTCATTGGAGAAGAAGCTGAAGATGCTGGTGGTGTGAGAAAAGAGTTTTTTATGCTCCTTCTAAGAGAAATATTAGATCCAAAATATGGAATGTTTAGACAATATGACGACAGTCGGGCTATTTGGTTTTCTGAAGATTCGTTTGAGGAGGAAGTAATGTATTTCTTAATAGGTAAGTTTAATTAAGTTGTTATAATACATTTTACTCATACATATGATAAAATTTTAATGCTTTATTGATCTGTTTCTATTAGTGAAATCTCAATTGTAGATACTAACTGGTTTATCATTTAAATGATTAAAAATTTCTTGTTGTTTTCGTTACCATGAACTGAATTTTTTCTCTTAAGTACTACTGATATGTACATATATGTATGATTGATAAATTGCAATAATTAACTGTGAGCAACTTCCAGCTTTGTCACTTAATTATATTATTTATGTTTGTAGGATTGCTGTGTGGCCTAGCAATATATAATTTTATTATAATTAATTTGCCATTTCCTCTTGCCCTATACAAAAAATTACTTGGTGAAACAGTCTCATTACGAGATTTATTTGAAATGACACCAACGGTAGCGTCATCACTCGAAAAGCTTTTACAATATACTGAAGATGATATAGTAGATGTATTTGGTTTGACATTTGAAGTATCCAGAGAAGTTTTCGGTGAAGTGAAAGTTACTGAACTCAAACCAGGAGGATCTGAGTTACCCGTTAATCAGGAAAATAAGTAAGATTTTTTTTTGGGTTTGGTTAACTATTTTTCTTATCATTGATATTGCTCTCAAATACTTTTTATTGGCCTTTGGTTTTTCTCATTTTATTTAATTCGTTTTGTAATTGAAATGCCATTAATTCGTTTCAGCATTGTGGTTTTTGTTGAGTTTTTTTTAATATTAACAATAAAATTTCTGTTTATTAATTTAATTAATATTTTTCCTGTCATTCATGATATTGCAAAACTGAGTTAGACATGCTTTGTTGAACTCCATTGCTCGAACTGTTGCAACTTTTTCAGGGTGCTTTTTATACACAAACTTTTAAAGATATGAAAGCTGCATATAAATTATTGTAAGGCTTTTAGCTGGAGTTACACCCTTTATCAACTCCTTCTGTTTAAACACATTACATATTTATGATGAGTTACAAATATTCATAATTTAAAACTTTAATTTAAGAACGTGGAGCTTTTCTTTGGACCTATGCTAAGAAAACGCATACGTAGCTGTACATTCACTATTAATGTTTAGCCAAAATTTCAAATGTTAAAATAAAACCTTGATATATTCTCATGGGTAAATCGTTGCTTCACAATTAATATTGATATATAATTGAAATGACTAATTATAAAATAACTTTTACTATTATAAAACAGCCAGAATATTTCTATGGTCGTTGATTGTTACAACCTATGAAATTTTTTCTATTTTCATTGAAGTGCTATTCTGTAATTGTAAGTTCGTAAATGGTGTAAAACTTGTAGAATTGTAGGTGAGGTGTGTCTTCACTGCTGATTTTATTTGAATTGACAGAGAACTTTGCATAAATCATTTTAATTACAATCTAAAAGCAGATTATATAGTAATATATTTTTATATACATAAGCATATGCAGATAATTAAATCATATTATTTTGGAATTTCAAATGTAATTCTCCATTAAATAAAGGCTATAGCTGGCACATATGAATTTAAATAAACTCTCATATTTTTCATGAATACTAGACCAAATCATCAACAGACACTGTTAATACATATGCATCTTAGAATATTTATAAACTGACAATGAACTGTTATCACATGTTCACATTTCTCTGCATTAATTGTAATTCTTCACAATATTAAAACAATTCTTTGTATTTGCAGAAAAGAATTTGTTGACCTATATGTTGATTTTATATTAAATAAATCTGTAGAGAAACACTTTGCTGGTTTCCAACGCGGTTTTTTAAAGGTTTGTTTTATAAAATGATTTAAAATCGAAAACTTCAACAATATTTTTTCATGATTCATTATTTAAATTTTGTCCTTCTAATAAGGTATGTGGAGGACGCGTTTTGCGACTTTTCCAAAGTTATGAGTTGATGTCTGTTGTTGTTGGGAATGAGGACTATGACTGGATGGAACTAGAAAATCAAGCTGAATATAAACATGGCTATAGGTATGAATTTCACTTATCTTGATTACAGAACTACAATACATGTATATTGTGTATATGGTGGTATACAAGTTTTATCTGAAATTATAGTTCTGGTGACAAGACTATACGAATGTTCTGGGAAGTTTTTCACGATCTTCCGGTGGCAGAGAAGAAAAACTTTTTATTGTACTTAACTGGAAGTGATAGGATACCTGTTCAAGGAATGAAGGCGATAAAAGTAATTATGCATTTAAAATATTTCTGTTATTATTTCATATATTAATGCAATTCATATTTGTGCTCAGATCATTATCCAGCCTACAAATGATGACCGATTTTTGCCAGTTGCTCATACTTGCTTTAATCTACTTGACTTGCCACGGTATAAGACTAAAGAGCGCCTGCGATATAAACTACTACAAGCAATTCAGCAAACTGAAGGATTTTCATTAGTATAAACTCTTTTATACTTGTAAATATAAGAATATAATACCAATATGAAATAATGTTATATTTTTAGATATGCTGTTACAAATTTTCACATTTATATTTAGATTGTACAGTCATATTACTTTCAGAGCATATTTGATTTATTAAACTATGACTTGTTTATATGTGTTTTATTTTACAAGCGATTTGTTCATTGATAAATTAATTGATTTATAAATTGATGTAAGAGAAATAGATTCCATGGCATCAAAACAAAAAACCCATATGAAGTACATTATGTAGATTTAGCAGTTTCATGTTTGTTTTTGATTAATTTCTTTCTGCATATGAATTGATATTACCATAGTTAAAACATAACACCTAATAGAGTTGTAGTAGTGGTAGTGCTGTTTTTGATTTGTCATTTTTTAAGGCTTTGCAATGGCTGTCATTGTTCTGTTTAGTTTAATATGTTGCATGAAATTTAGAAAAATATATATACAGTGAAGTGAAATATGGCTCGAATTACTGTGCCCTTGGCAGTATTAACGAAATTAGAACTTGGAGATAATGCTGTATTAGATGACAAAGGTAAGAAAAAGAGATTTCAACACTTTGTGTCTTTATCACATCTTGGATGGGGATGATGTAGTACTATTATTGTAAATGGAGGCCCAGATCTTTTCGATTACTTGCATACCATAATGAGATTTTCAAATGCAAAATTGCATTGATTTGATTCTTTGTTTTAACTCTTTTCGAACGAATTAAATTTGGAGATATTCGGAACGAATTAATTTTGGAGTATTCAGAATTGTGCGCAACATGTGTACAAGATGTTTGTCAACTGTAGATATATTTTTATTATAATACACTTATTTAGTGTTGTTTTTGTATAAAAGCTATGTTATATATTTATTGAGTTCTGTATAAATATGCATACAGCATATGATGCCTCGTAGTCGTAGTCATTCAAGCTTAAATTAGGTAAGAATCTCGGAATTCGAGATACTCAGCGGTAAGTCTACACGTATGACACGTACTCAGTGCTGCATTTACAGTAGGGGCAGTCGGGGCTACTGCCCAGGGCGGCAAAATTTGGATAGTGAGGAAAAAATGCTATACAATGTAATTAACTATTTTTTTAATAACATTTTTTATTTCAAGAAATATAATTTTTTTTTGTTAATTTATATAAAACATAATACGATTGCAATGCAAAATTTGGGTTCAAATAACCAATTATTAAAATTTATTATTTTGCTTTGCCTCTCTCTCCGAACGTAAATTATCAAATTGGTTAATAAGTTATTATCAAATTTGGCTAATATAAAGTTTCGTAAACGAGCTGGAAGTTTAAGAAAAATATCTTCTTCAGATCTCGAGCCCTCTTAAGACGACAAATTTGTGCACTTCCAAGCGCCGAAAAAAATTAAACTAGTGACGCATGGCATTGTTCCATTAATTATTGCAAATTACTGGAAATTCTTGTACTGAAAATTACATTTTATAAAGAGCTTTAAAATTTTTAGAAAAATGAAAAAATGTATTTAAAAAACTTTTTTTTTAAATACATAATATTGAAATTTTTTGAAAATTGTGAATTTTTCTCAAAGCAATCGCGCTGCGAAAAATTTCAAAAATATTTCGAAATAAAAAAAAAACTCAAAATTTTCCAAAATTGTTTTTTTTAAGTTTTCAAAAAAATTTAACTTTTTTTTAATTTTAATTTTCGGTACGGGAATAATATATAAAAACAATTTAAGTAAAATTTCAGGGATGGGGCGGCATTTTTGTCAATGCCCCAGGGCGCCAAATTTTTAAATCCGGCCCTGCACGTACTTGTATATTGACACCCTAAAGTTGTCTTATTTACTGGTTGACTTATTTTTATGCAAAATTAATTTACTTGTATTTACGTTGATTTCATAGATTTTTTTCGGCATCATTAGAATAATATGAATATATGTATGCATTTATATTCTCATATTCTAAAAAAAATCAAATTCTATCCTAAAAATTCCAAATTCAAAACATAACGTGGACCGGAGTTGATGTGTATATGAATTAGCATGCGTTACCAAGTGTCTTATGCAACAGGTCCGATAAAATAGGGCTGAACTGGACTCTATCCATATATAAATTTGAACTCCCGCGCAATCTTTTTTGTGTAACTTTGAACTGACAATTTATAATAGCTATAGCTATATATAATGTAATGATATATAATGTATATAATATAATAATATGTATTTTAAAATCAGTACGAATCCTCCAAAGTGGCTGACTTTTCAAATCATATAGTCTTTATGAATTGTGCAAGATAATCAGCGGTAGATATTTTATTATTGTATATTTGAAATAATAGAAAATTAAACTAATGGTGCCTTAAGGCAAATTGCTGGAACTTTTTGTACCAAAAATTAATATTTTTAAAAAATAATTGAAAAAAAAAATAAGAATTTTTGATAAAATATTCTATATATATATTAATTTTTGATAAAATAGTCTTATAAGACTGAAAAAAATGATTTTTTTATATTAGGAAATTTTGTACATTTTCTATTTTTTATGGCAATCCCGCTTCTTCAGCTGCGTAGTGCTGTCGCGATCTAAAGGATAAACAATGGCACGGAACCGATTAGAAACGTAAATTAAATTTGTTCTTATTATTAAAATCTCTAAAACATTTGGTAGTTTAAAGTGCATATGCCTAATGATCATTTTCGACCGTCAAATGGCATTTTTTTACGTTTTTTTTTATTGATTCTCCGAAACCGCTAGAATTATCTTCGCAAAAATTTTATCGGTTCTTCATATCGCTAATACAAATAAAATGTTTTTTGAATGATTCTAATTGGACGCTCTGTTGTCTCAACAACTGAATTACCAAATTTGGCACTTTTTGCCCCGTATCTTCGAAATGGCTTAACCTGCAATGCGGATCAAATGTTTTTTAAATTATTCAAATCATATGAAATGAAGTAATTGCTGATTAATAACTTCTATAATATTTGTTCACACAGTGGATTATGTTAAACAACGTCTGAACAAATATTGTTTTCGTAACTTCACTCATCAATGTAGTAATTATGTTTGAAGAACTTCATGTAATTAAAATTAACATACATTCATTGACCGATAATATTTTTTTATTTTTTCGCTGGCAATATAATCTCATTCTTTGAACAGCTGTAATATCTTTTTTGCCTAAAAAATATTTTCCATTTCAAACACTTCAAAGATTTATAGAAACTACGAATAATATAGAAATTATTTCAATAAGCTTAGGTTTCATACACGACGCAAATGCTGCATTTGATTTATTATTTGCATTATAATTTTTTACGGGGGACATGGTAAAATATTCTTCTGATTCAGGCATTTTTCATTAAATAAACATTTGTACTACGATGTAACTTTAAAATGTTTATTTATCTATGCCGATTTCCTTGTTGATATCAGTACGCATACAACGTTGACGCCGGTACGCATGCAACGACAGATCTCTATTTACATACACGACGACTAATCACAATAGACCCGTATAGAAATAATATCATCGAGAGCGAAAGCCGAATCATAGGCACTCGACTCTTATCTTATAAGATAATTATCTTATCTGCCGTAATGCACTTCCGTTGCATTTGTACGGATTTACACCCTAGTCGCGTCTAAAGAAGTTTTACTTTAATTTATTTTCGATTGCTATAACTTACTATAACTTACTTACAATGTTAGTACATCAATTTTTATTAAGAAATAATCTTGTCCTGAAATGGACAACAAGTAAAACTGTAGAAAAAACTGACTCTAAAACACAATTTTCTGAGCATTGTCAGAGATTTTGAAAATTGACATATTTTAATGGCAAATGATCGTTTTTAATCTTGCCCTGGCAGTGTTGTGGTGTAGTTCTCTGGCAACTTTGGAGTTTGAATGATCATCGGTCGGCTTTTGTGATTGTCTGAATGTGTTTGTATTTCATTGTTTATTGTTTTTATGTCAGCGTCTTTATGTATTAACCAATTCGGTGCATACTTTGGTAAAATCACAATTTCCATAAATTATTTTGGCATTTTTGAATGTTTATCATCGGTAGCTTCTAACCTATAAAAACACTACCTTTGGGCTCGCCCGTAGGTAAGCGGTTAAGAGCGACGAGACTTGAATCAGATATATATATATATATATATATATATATATATATATATATATATATATATATATAAACACTACCTTCGACGGGTGGCAATGATCAATTTAGTTAATTATCAATTTTATATAGTAAACTTTAACATATCTAGAGATTTTCTTCATGCTATATTAATATTCTTATTAATAGATATTAATATTGTTATATTTTTCATACTATACTTCATGAAATTACTATTTTTTATTACAATCTGGCTATATTAGCCACTTGACCTGCATAATATGCATTAAACACGAAAGAGTTGCGCTAGACCTGTGTCTATATAAATAAAGTTGTATGATATAATAACAAATAAGTATTCATTATAAACTATTCGAAAATTAAAATATAGTTAAACACTTAAATAATTTCTGTAACTTTATTTACAGTTTGCTCACATACATTTTAACAATATATTCATAAGTGCAACATATGTGATGGGTAACATTGTTAATATGAAATTGTATAAATATTTATTATTACTTATAAATAGTATATATAAGCGTGTTAGTGCTGAGTTTTTGGCATCAATATCTTAGTGCATTATAATTTACAAGCTGGACATTCCGGAGTTATCCTCGTAGTGCTGCGTTCCTGGGGGAGCTCGGTATCCGGGGTATGTAGCATTTAAGGCGTGTTGGGCGAAAAATTGTGAGTAGTCCTGGAAATAGTTGCTTTATTAGTGGTCGATAGTAGTTGATAAATCATCCAATTACAATTTTATGAAAAAGGTAATTTATCAAAAATTATTTTAAAAAGAAAATAGACATAAGGAGGACCTTTTGTTGGTTGAGGACAGGACTTTGAAAATCGGAGAAAACTTCAGTATTATACAATTTTATCAGTATGATTTTCATCACATTCTATTTTTTGTATAAGCCATTTTACATTTGTCGGAAACTAATTACATTTATAACAGTTTATTAAAAACGACGCTAGTGATTAGGTTTCAGAGAACAAACATGATCTCTAGTGCATTAAGAATAGGTTCCTACAAATCTACAAATATTTCTTCAAATTCATGAAATCGAGATTAAATATATACCGATTAGCAACTTAGTTATATTTTGGTGATCCTTTTAGGAATTAGATATGTTTTATACTTTTCGCTGAACATCGTTTTATATTTTCATCATTAATTTGTACTATTCTATGCATTGTTGTTAGGGGGCATCCATTAATCACGTGAGATTTTTATGGGGAAGAGGGGGGGGGGGCTTTGACAAAAAATCATAAAATATTACGTGGGGAAAAAGGTATAGTAAGGAGTAAGATATCACGTGTATTTATTAACTTCCCGTAGGGCACGTTATAGTAATCGCAAAAAAATCGAAAATGAAAATTTTTATATATCTTTACGTTTCAAAGGTTTCTGAGTATTTTGGCATACCTTAGAAAAAATGGATGTATGTGTGTGTGCGGATACAAATTTTCGTCGACGGTTTCGGGAACACGGATCAACCGATTTGAATAATTCAAAAAACATGCGATTCGTATTGATAAGGAGACGTGCTGATTAGTTTTTGGCGAAGGCAGGTCTAGCCGTTCCGGAGATACGGGGCAAAAAGTGCCAAAAATGGTAACTCAGTTTTTAAGAGAACAGAGCGTCCGATTTTAATAATTCAAAAAACATTTTACTTGTATTGGCAAGATGAAGAATTGGTCAAATTTTCATGAAGGCAGGACTAGCGGTTTCGGAGATCTAGTGAAAAAAGTAAAAAAAAGCCATTTGGCCATCAAATTATCAGATGTTTTATAGAGATTTTAACAATAAGTATATATTTTGTTTACATTCCTATGGGTTCCGTACCAATGTTTATCCGTTAGACGGCGACGCGGTGCTTACGCACTTTGACATTTCGTCTCTATGCAGTACGATTGCTTTGAAAAAAAGTTCAGAATTTCCAAAATATGTCAAAATAAAGAAAACATTTTTTTATCAATAAATTTTTTTTTTCAAAAAAATGTATTTTTTTGTCAAATTTATAGTTTCTAAAAAATCTAATTTTTTCGAAGTAATTTTTTTTCGAAAATGTTAATCGTTTTTAAAAAAAAAATAATTTTTGGTACGGGAAGTACCAGCAATTTGCCTTAAGGCACGATGCCATGCGCCCCACTAGTTTTTTTACCTGAATTTAAAAAAAAAAACAAAAATGTTAAAAAATTTTATCGTAACTAAAATTACACGTGATGTTTGGTGGGAGAGGGTGGGTTCAAAAATTCTTAAAAAATCGATCACATGATTAGTAGACATCCCCCTTATCCGTTGCACAAACATAATTTTATATACCAATTTTATATTATTATCGTTGCAATTACTAATTTTTCTTGGACTCATAAGCATCGCCGAGATTTGCGTGCATTTTATTATTATGATTCATTAATTTTTATAAATTACCTTTTTAACTTTTCTCGGCCTGCAAGCGGGACCTTTTGCTAATTGCATACGAGCTTCGTTTTCCGCAGCAACAGCGGCCTTTACTTCTGCTGGTGGCCATTTCTGATCTCCTCGCATGTTGGTGCCTCCTGCGAAGAGGAGATCAATTTTAAATATTGAATCAGTGAATTTCTCCAACCACATTTAATTACTCATATTGTTTTATATCTAAGCTTCCCTATATATGTTTTTCAAATATTATCTGATAAAATTTTATATACGCATCTTGGTTGCAAGGAAAGTTTAAGAATTCTGTCTATATAAATTTAGGATAAATAAAACCAAGATGCACGAAGAAAAAGGATCATGATATATTATTGAATCTGAATGTTTCTTGAAAGGTTTTCATCGATTTAGACATTTTTTAAGTACTACCAAAAATTTGCTGATGCTGAGGATGCTCCATCCAAAGGCGAAAATACCAAAAAAAACTTTCTTTTATCAAATCATTATTAACTTCCCGAAGGAGAAGTTTATGTTTTCATCAAAAAATCCGAATTGCTAATTTTATGTTTTCTCGACGTTTCAAGCCATTCTGATTCGAATGAGACCAAATTTGGAAAAAGTATGTGTGTGTTCGTGTATGTAAACAGATTTTTTGCCGTAAATCGACGTTTCCTCGAATACGGCTGGACCGATTTCAAAAATTTAAAAGCCACTTTTGTGCGACGATCGGCCAAGCCGTTTCTTTATAAATCGCAGAAAAGTGAAAAATTTTTCGTCTACGTTTTAGCCCGCAATTCTGAATCGATTTTGAAAATTCAAAAACCGTTCGAAAGATATTGGTTGAGAATCGTGCTGATTAGTTTTTGGTAGAGATCGGCCGGGCCGTTTTATTGTAAATAAAGTTTAAAAAAAAAATTTCGACGATTTTTATGATTATTTTTTTGGCGGTAGATACCATAGTCTTCTAGATCATACTAAACTATTACGGCCCTACGACAACTGGTTTAGCTTTAAAAATTCGTCAAAGTTTGCAGAAATTAGTATGGTCTTTTTGGCATTTGTCAAAATTAGAATTTTCATCGACGTTTGCTCAAAAACGCCTGAACCGATTTCAGATATTTGAAAAGCATTTGATGTATGTCGATGAGGATTATCGTTTCTCAGTTTTGTGCGACGATCGGCCGAGCCGTTTCTTTGTAATTTGGAAAAAAGTGTTAAACCTTTCGTCCACATTTAAGCTCATACTACCGAACCGATTTTAAGAAATCAAAAACTGTTCGAAAGATATTAGTTGGCAATGATATTGATTAGTTTTAGGTGAAAATCTACCGAGCCGTTTTCTTGTAATTAACTGTTGAAAAAAAAATTTAGGCCGATTTTTATGGAACTTTTTTTTAGCGATATATATCATGGTCTTATAGAACTTACTGAATTATTACGGCCTTACGACAACTGGTCCTACGGAAACTGGTTCAATTATAATTATTCTTTAATTAAAATTATTGATTTTTGAAAATTTGCTTTTAGAAAATACTCCGAGTTAACGCGTTCGTTCGTTCGTTTGCAATGATGTGTAATAAATCCACTCGGAATACTTATAACCACTCACAAATGAATTTATTTTTTATTGATTAAGTCGATTATTCACACATATCGGGAAGTTCATGTAACTTGCCTCAAGTCTAAATACCAATACCAAATAGTTTGATCTTGCTCACCTTGTAAGGTTGCCGTTGCTGGTTGACTAGGAAACACGGGGTTTGGTTGTTGTGTCACGGGGACCTCTTGTCTCAGCTGGATTGTCGATGGTGGCGGAGGTTGCGCTGAAGCTGCAACAGGGCGGAAGGCTTGCGTGGGTTGCGGCTGATACTGTTGCTGTTGCGGTGAAGTCGAATAATTCGGAGGTTGCGTCTGCAAAATGATAAATTGCAATTCATGGAATTCACTGAAACTAATCATATTTAATAAACGAGACATTATTTACATTGGATTATTTATATGATCACTGTTGTATGTGACAGACTGTAAATGGAACCTTTTTGATGCTATAGTGGGTTTTATGTTACAGTAGGTGCCAGGCATAATTATGATTGATCGTACTTTTTTGATTTCAGAACTCAGTTTTTATGCTCAGCATAAAATAATTCCTTGTCTATCAGTTGTGGATTTTTTTATTGTATCTCTACATGCATTTCTCTTAATACGAGAATTGTCATGCTTTGATAAGTTATGCTAAGTACCAATTAATATTGAATGATATTTCGAAAGAAAAAAATGACAATTGTTTTTGACCTCATATGACTTCATTTCTGATTTTGATAGAAAATGTTTGTTTCACATGTGAACTAAGATAACTTTTACTATGAAGCAATAAAAATTAAATTCTGTAGTGCTTAAACACGAGTATGGTAATGGCAAACTGATTTAGATAAGGTGGTGGTCAAATGATTTTGGTTTCCAAAGAACAAGTATTGTGTTAGTCATATTTGATGTCAATTCAAAGTTTTATTAAATGCTATCAAGTATTGCGTTCCACATGTATTTAAATTAATATTTTTATAACTTTTTTATATACAATACCTACACGATTATTTTACATACTAAAGTACATGCATAGTTACTTTATATGTACAATGTTTACCGAATTTGTTCATTATGTTTAATATTTGATAATGAAAGATGGTCTGGAATAGATTTTTGAGGGAGAACGTCATATTTAATAAAAAGTGGTAATATTTGTTATTTTTGAGATATCAATTTCATTGACGCTGAATGACTAAACAGGTGCAGGGTTGCAGGCCTCAAATATTTTGATGATATCAGTATGAGGATAGGATATATCTGGGATATAAACTGCAAGTTTATTAGAATTTGGACAGGATCCAATTAATGTTTCATGTAATTCAATATGTGTCATAGAAGAAAGAATGAGCTGTAATCATATTTATATCGGTATATATTATAAATTATCACTTAACTGGCTATGGTTTTAAAAATAGAAATTGAAATTATATTTAAATGTACAATAATTAAATAAATATAAGAATAAATTAAATAAATTAAATAGCATAGATTATTAGCTGGAAGTATAAAGAAGTATTAATGGGAAACACCATTAAACAATTTCGTCAAATTTTCGAATAACTACGATATTTTAATAAAACGAATAATCTGCCAATCTTCACAAATTTATTCATGATATTTAAAAAGTCTACAGATTTTGAAAATTATTAGTTAATTTATAGTACTTCATTCACAATTATATGTTCCATGAAAGTACAATTATTCCATTATGTGTTAAATTTAGGTCCAATTAGATTCAATTACTAAAATCTTCTCCAGTGAGGCGTAAGTTTATTCTAAAAAAAACGTGTCATTTAATGTTTTGAATATAAAATTTTTGAAAAAACGATTTTATACATAGCACAACATTTTTATTAAGCAAATAAATATCTAACTTACAGTACTTTTATATGTTTATAGTCCAAATAAAATGAAAAGTTTAAATACTCCATGCAATTTTAGGTGTGTAATAAGTTATTCTGTTGAAATTGTTGTGTTAAAAACTAATTATGGAACACTAATATTGTTGCCATCAAACTCTATTATTTTTGTATGTGTTGCATTTAGTATGTATGTTTTTTGTAATAAAAAATAATTTTAAATTATAAATAAAATAAATTCTTTTTAAAACTAATATACCAAATATTAGTATGTGTAGCTATTGACTAAATAGCAACGGTTTGAAATAATTATTCAATTGTAATTTATTCATTAAGAAAATTTTAATAATTAATCTGAATAAAATAATTGTAAAATTGTATCTACCGTCAAATGATTGTTAAAAAATAATGCTGTCATTTTTGTTATCGTTTCAAAATCAATTCGATCCTACATGAATGGCTCGTCGCCAATTCATAAAATTACAAAGTGGCTCAAGTCTGTTTTCACACGTACTATTTTTAAAATTAAGTATAAATGTTGAATGGTAGGATTAAAGAATACTATGTGTTTTTTATTTCGAAAATAAAAATGTAAACATAAAGTGATAAATCTCATATAATAGTGTAGCGTTACATTTTTATACGTAACATAAATGTCTCTTATAATACACAACTTAGCTGATTTGCTCGTTTAATTTCATTTTAATTTAATTTTCTTTATTTTGTCGCTAATTCGTGATATATAATGTGTAATGGTGAGGCGTATGAGCGTAAACTATACTATAATATGTTATACATAATAATGTTAAAACTGAAAATTTCATGTAAATGTTAGGATAAACATAAAACACAGAAAATCTTAGCGAAAGTTTTAAAAAGCAGCAAAAAACTCGTAAGAATGAACCTCAAGAATACTTCCGTTTTCTAAAAAGCAGATAGAATAAAGCGCAAAGGTCAAATAAAAAACTAAGAGCAACCCAATAGGTCAATCAAATTCTAATGGTTTCTCTTGTGCTGTGTACCTGTGCCTGCACAGGTACCGTGACCTGATTGGGCTGCGGTGCCTGGTACTGTTGTTGATTTGGCTTCGTAGTGAACACGGGCGGTTGTACGGGGGCCCAGCCGCGAGGACTAAGCGGTTTAACGACTCGTGTCGGGGTGCCGACGGTACCTGCGGGCGAGAATGGCCGCGGCGATTGATTGCGCACGCCCGGGCTGGCCGCTCCTTGAGACTGTTGACGCAAAATTGGAGAAGGATGGGACAAGACGGGCGACGAAGCCGCCACGGGCAAGGGCGATTGCGGCTGAAAGGGTTTCAGGGGAGCGGGACGAACGGGGCTCTTGGAACCTTGGTGAGCGACTGGTTGTACTTGAGGACGAGAGTCGATTTGACCTGTGCGTGACAAGGGATTGGGAGATGTGGTGGTGTGATACTGAGGACCACCCTGAAAATAATTAATGCTGATTCGTGCTAGTTTTCTTTTCTAAGGCAAGATTCACATTGTCAGAGGCTAAGTAAGTGTCTGGCAGTTGTCTGTACATGTCAATGAAAAATATGTGTGTTAATATATTGTAAATATCGGAATTAAAAGTAAAAGCCAATTGAAGCAATTATTGAAAGTAATATCGTAATAATTGATATGTTTTCCAATCTCGACTCATTTTACGTTACAATTTGAAGTTTTAATTAACACTTTCGGGACGGCACCAATTTCAAAACAATCTACTTTACCGGCTATAAACTTGATTTCATTGTGTATGTTATGCGATTTGTTTGATAAAAATTTGTGGTCATTGAAGGACATACATTTTTAATATTAATTTACTTTTGATCATTTTAAAAAGAATGGTGACGTTCAAAACAATTTCCAAAATGCATAGCTGGTTGATTTTGACATCTTTTACAATAAAATGTTGTTCGCCGCCTTCCTCCTGGTGCTTTTCTGTCAGAAGAGACAATACAACCCCTTTTTCTTTTAGAATTTAGAATATGTCACTGATTAGTCAGTATATTTGGTATTTTTTTTGCTGCCATAATGGTTTATTTTTTCTATTATATTGTCTAATAATTCATTTATAAAATATAAAGTAAAATAATCTATTGGATGTCTTATATTGCTTGGTATTTGTAGTCGGGGTGTTTGTTGATGTATGTCAAACTCGATTATTGAAGGAGAATCGGCACATTCGCTAATGTCTTCCCACTCTTCAATTATTTTGTCGAACTTCTTCTTTTTGTTGGTTGGATAATATCATCATCACATTCATCGTTATCATCGGTGCGAATAGTAATTTCGTAAAATTTGTCTGTATGACTGTCTATTTGAAACTCATCTTCACTACTGCTTAATTCACAAAATTTACTAGTCCTTTTGCCATATTTGAAAGCGCTCGGTCGTTTTAAATATTAAAAAAAAGACCATATAGCAAAGAAAAAGGCTTAAAATACTACTAAAATAATTTAAAATTATTTTCAAAATACAATACTGTTTATAACTGCTATATGTAATTTATTCAACTTTTCGATGCAAACTGAGTCATTGTTTATAAAATAGCCTGTACCTCACAGAGTATGTTTGTCCACTGAGGTGGACAGCCGTCCCCAAAGTGTTAAAACTTGATAACATTCCAAATCCTTTTTTTTTCAACAATATATTCTTTTTATACCTATTTTGTAGTGAAATATATATGTTCATCAATGAAGTGACACCGATACGAAGATACACAAACCATGTACGCACACATAAGCTCAGAAAAAATAAAGGAAAATGGGATTTGACAGTAAGAAAATGTGAAAAAAGTTTATCATAACTGTTTATGTAAAAATAATGTATACATCATTCTAAACCAATGGGAGTACCAATTGCAATATGAATCTAGCCTGTATAGAAAGATATTTATGGGCTTGAGGAAAATTATGGTTAGGAATTACATAATGTTCCCAACATTGTTTTGAATGTAATGATATTGAAAAAAAAACTGATTTTAATGATCAGTAAAGCACATCGAACTTATTATTGAAATTGATTACATAGATTAAATTATGATGTGAGGATAAAAAAAGTAGTTTTTCGTGTGAGAAAATATCGTTGACGATTTCATATTCTATTTTGTAATATGAAAAATAATTATTATTTATTGCATATTACGTGAGATATATATATATATATATATATATATATATATATATATATATTAATACATGCATTTGGGTTAATATGTATAATATACCTGAGCGAAGACAGGCTCTTGTTCCAAAATTGGAGTTCCTGATTGATGGTCAGGTTCAGCTGGTGGTGGCCAGGCAACTCTTTTCAAACCTGCAATATTGAACAAATAATAAGCATTGACAATTGAGATAGCATTGAGATTTTGAGAAAAAAAACGTACACTTTTATATAAAGACTGTAACAAACCGGCTATACATAAATTGATTTGATCAACTTTAAGAAAAATTAGAATAATTTATTTTTAGTATTGTTGCTAAGAATGGCTTCTAAAATTATAGAATAGTAATATTTTACACTTTAGTGCAGTATTCATAATATAAACTCATAAAAGGAACACACTCACAGAAAGTACAAAAGGAATGGGAAGAAGAAGAATGCAGACGATTGACGACTTACGCTTATGATCAAGAAGCATGGAAACAGAAGTTTGGAAAGAAAAATACATGAAATAAAAAAAAATAGGGAGAGGAAATAGTGCTAATGGGAGAAAGGGTAAGGAAATCATTTGTTTGTGGTGGCTCTCACACCATGGACCTGCCTTTGGGGCAGGCTACCATTTATTATTATTATTATTATAAGGAACATGCTTTTTACACATATTGACTTTGTAATTATAATTGCAGACGTTTGACTTGGGTTTGATTTCTTTGACAAGAAATTAGCTTAACCGGATTATTTATCAATTAATTTAAAGGTTAACAATAAAAAATGTTAAAATATAACAATAAAATAATAAATATTATGTTGCCATATGAATGGAGCACAGTAATTCTCCAACAATTAAAAAAATTTTTTCAAGATATTTGGACTTGAAAGCTTTTAGTTGTTTATGTGAAAAAATCTTTTTAAATGAATGATAAAAAAAATATTTAACAGAATCGTTAGAGAAATTCTTGAGGAAAGAAGGGAACGCGAGTATACTATTTAATAACGCATTTATAGTAAAAGTCTTTTCAACACTAATGACTTTATTATTAAAGAAATCATGTTCAAAAAGTTCATCATTAAGCAATGTTGTTGGGATCAAATAAGTTTTGAAATTATTAGGATACAGTGCCTCGATTTTTCCTAAATATATTAACTTATACTTATTGTTAGTATTTATTGTGAAAAATATAAGGATTCATTAGGGCGATACATGTAATCGCCTTAATTTTTACCATTTTTTGAGGACTTTTTAAACTGGGAAGGAATGATTGAATCTTTTTGAACTTTTTTAGGGTTATTTATTATATATTAAAATACACAAAAAAAATTTTTTTTTATTTTTTTCTTTTTAAATGGCTGCCGTAAAAATAAATCTGCCAAGACCCTCTCGGGAAACGCCATCAATTTGCGGGCGTTCTCACTTTTCGTACGGTGATCTGAATTTAAAAAAACTAGTTTGTACGTGTTCATAAAACATATATCTTCTAGTTAAACCAAAAAAAAATTAAAAAAGTCACAAAATCGTAAATTGGCACACCTTAGAAAAAAAAAGTTCGATTTTTCACCTTTTTTTCAATGGTTTTTTTGGTAAAAGGGTTAATTTTTGAAACATTTTTTGGAATGTTTGAGGTTTAACTAGAAGCTATTACTGTAAAGTAGATGTGTGCAAAATTTCATTGGAATCGGTTGAGAACTTTTTGAGTTATCCCGCCCGCAAGTTTCAAAAATGTCGTTTTGAGAAAATCGCGTTTAAAGTTTTGACACATAGAACAGATAAGAGTTGAGGCGTGGCACTTAAATGAGTTTTTATTGTATAAATAATGATAATTTTGTTTTGAATATTTACAGGCATATTTTTGAGATGTTATTGTAACGATTTATGAAAAAAAAAAAAATCGATTTTTTTTTTCTTGTTACATGTATCGCCCCCCTTAAGAATAGATTTATTCATTTGTCCTACACCAATGTCGTGCTAAATAGTAAAATATCGTACGACATTAATTGTAGAACGTGTAGAACATTTACAAATGACAAAGATGTTAAATTTTGCGAGATGTGACGAATTCCTAGCTAAAACAATGTTATGTGTCATCAGGGTCAGATCTCGGCATTGTCAAATCTCGTATGATGGCTGATCTGCATTTATCAAACGCTTTCGGACTCTAGAGCCAGTCATTCGGCTATTTTGGTACCTGCCCAAACTAGAAGTTGCTGTGGCTTCACGTACACCTGATATTCTTACTTTGAAAGATATTTTTAACTATCTCGCCAGAGTGGAGCTTATAGAATGAATATTCATATAACTGATATCAAACGAAAACAGATACGAACTCGTAAAACAATATTGTGATATTTGATACCGAGGCGATTGCTCATAATAAGTTTCAAGAGAATGAAAGACAATGCATATTTATCCACATTTGATTATGGGAATGGGAATTTGTTCGCAGGTATTTTTAAACACATAGCATATGATTGTATATAAATGTCATATTGTTATTTAATATCATGTTAGTATGAAAAACAACTGGCACCCGTGTGAATAAGTTTGAAATTTATGTTCCGAGAGCTTCTAAGTAAAGCTCCTGGAGTATTGCGTTCATCATAATTATATTATGATCAAGTGGTTACATGATCTTTGTATGGAAATTCTAGCCAAACTGTTATTCAAAATATATGGTTTATTTTCAATTGAAATAAAAAGTGTTAAATTTACCGATGTCAAATCTAAATGCACTGAAACTTAAATATATGAAATGCAATAACTTCAATACATAAGCTTTTTTTCGATAGATAATTGCTTTTATAATTAGTTTACGTATAGTTTATTATAATTTTTTATTTGTTACTTTATTGCACAATTTGAATATGTTTGCGTAACTAATTCGGATGATAGAGGAAATATCATTTCTTGTTTCTTTACTACCTTGCAACCTTCATTTGCAAAACCAAAAATAATCTAGGTTATAAATGACACTAATATCATAATCCTTAATGAATTTATCGTTTGCTAAAATATCTTAACTATTGTTAAAATAGCCTAGCTGAAATTTATGGTAAATAAAATAATTTTAACTCTTTCGACTCGGATGCCGCCGCTCCGGCAAGAAATTCATATAAATCTCGGAATTCGCAAGTGAAAAGTGTTAAAACAAATTGAAATTTTAAAACCAAAATGGAATATGATTTTTGCGTCATTTGTTATAGTTATTTTTTAAACTTAATTAGTTTTATATAATTCATGAGATATAAAAAATATATGATGAAAAATACAACTGGCTTGTAGGAGGTATTAATGTAAACCAAGTTGACGAATTAGATAAATTTACACATTTTGAACAAGATTTTCAAATTAGTATTATAATCTAAAAAAATCGAATGAATATTTATCAGTAAATGCTTTGTAGATGAATTTAGTAATTTTGAAAAAATTGATCGTTATTTCCGGTATGCACGCATAGAATAGAAATGTCTAGTTTTCGTCGTATATCGGCATTTTTAGATAATACTTGTAGTTTGTTGTTCTATATTTAATTATGTATTTTGATAGTCTTTAAAAATTTTATTACATAGTAATTTTTAATGTCAATATTATAGAATTTGATTACATTTTTGATGCTACATATTAGTTAAACATTGCATTTTTTAAAAGAAAGCTTTTATAAATATAGCAGTATCCGGATCTAAAGACTCCAGAGACCGACTAAGAAATTCGGTCTTATTAAGCGGTTACCGAACTAAACTTAATGAACACACTTGCACCTAATTTGAGCTTAAATTTTCTTCAATATACCCAGTTAAATCTTATTGCTGGAGTCGATATATCCAGAATTCACAATCGAATAAATTAAAAATGAGATAAAAGCAAACCTTAATCACTTAACAGCATTCTCAATTTATATACGGATTTATTGATTTATTTGTAATTTAAGTATTAATTTATGACTGATATTTTAGTATAACAATCTATTTTTAAAATTCACTTCCGCTTAATGTAACATCTATTTTATTTGACAGTTATCTCACCTTGGTACGCGAAATATTAATTTATAGGTCACCAGTTTATCAATAGAATTAACAACTAATTAAAATTTGATTGAAATAAAAAAATATTTTTATTTAATCCTTTTCAAACACCTTATTTTGCATCAAACTTTCATAGACAAACAAAAAATTAACAAGTGCTTACAGAAGTAAATGAAAAATCGAATTAAATAAAAAAGTGTACGACACTGTTTTCTTCACAAAAACTCATTCAATCCACTTCAATGAAAATAAAATCCACAAAGATTGATTAATCGATAACACGTGCACTTACTTTTTGGTTCGCTGCCGTTTTATCCGACAGGTAATTTTGATTCTAGTCGAATCTAAATCGCAATGGCGACTATATTTGTTACGAATTCGGTGGGGGATCCCCGTAAGAATAGTGTATAAACACATCACATTTAAACATTAGGTTTATAAATGTGGATCACAAATACTAGAAAATCCTTCTGTATGAGACCGTTCATCCTATTTAGGTACCATGCTATCAAATTGTGACATTTAGGTGACGCAAATCTAGACAAGGTCGGTCGCAATATTTAAATTTACCCGTGGCGATGGTAGTTGTATCAAACTTACTTATATTCAAATGTCAACTATTTATCCTGTGCCAGAAGTTGCTTTGTTAGCACTTTTAGAAATTGACAGGATAATTGGTTCACGAACTGTAATGATCTACCTGCTTAGGAAGATGTTTCGTGAACCTTTTATAAAATTTATAAAAAAATTATTTTGTTTCCAAATATATATATATATTTTATTTAATTAATTAATACCAATCGGTTATATTCCATTCCCGTTTAGAGTTATTAAATTTTAGAAGTTAAATTGGTTCATTATGAGTCAGCATTAAAATTTTCTTTACAGTTTCATATAACCAATTTCATTCATAACAGTAGCATTAACTAAATAAATTCGTCAATATTGTACAAAAAAACTTTTTCTTTCTGTGTAAAGTTCCTGCTCTACAATACCGAACAGATCTATACCTTACCGTACCATAAGACTGCCGAAACAGTTTTTCTATTAAATATTGTATATACTATATAGAAAATTATGAACAAACATGTAGAAGATGTAAATTAGTAAGAGCAAACAAAACTATAAGCTGCCTTATCTTCGAAAGATCTTCAAATTTCCCAATTTTCTCAAATTTATTTCATATATAGTATATAGCATTGCTACTATAAATTACATCCACAAAAATAGGAAATGAATTTGAAGAAATTGGAAAACGTGAAGATCTTTTGATGAGAAGGCAGCATTTGGTTTTGTTTGTTCTTACTAATTTATTACATCTTCATGTTTGTTCATAATTTTCTATTTATACATGGTATTATTGAAATAATTATATAAATTGCAGATATTGCATTTAATTAGGAAAGTATATTAAACATGATTTTACTAACTGCATTACCATAAACACTAGTTTTAATTTGAGTAAATGTTTGACGGAAACTTAGCTATTGTTGTTGTATACTTTGCACTTATTCATTTTGTTTATTAAAATTGCTATTACACAATTGAATAATTGATGCATTACAATAATATTGTTTGTATGATTCGAGTCTAATAGAGACAAATAAAAAAATATGATTTTAGTGACAGTTTTAATGAAAAACCAACATAAAAATGCAGTGATTCACACTATCGCAGCCGAGCTAGTATTCCTTTCATAATATATCTTGCTTTTATTTGTCATCAAAATTCACATTTATTTTTTCCTATACTTAACTAAAACCTAAACCATTTTTGTACAAACTTTGTCAAAATAGCTTTCTTTTTGGAAGGGTGAAAAGAATGTAGAGATATCACATTTATATTTTGCAGCAAAATATACCTTAGAGGGCGTCCATTAATCACGTTTTAACAATTTTACAGTTTTTTCACGTAACTAAAATTACACATGATGTTTGGTGGGGGAGGGGGGTTAATTTTGAATATCACCATGTATCACCATGGGGGAGGGGGGTCCAAAAATCCTTAAAAACTTGCTCTCGACGCCCCCTTAGCAATATTTTTAAATAAAATTTGAATCTTGCAAGCAATGTTCCAAATTCTCGGTTGTACAAATATATAATGCGTTCTTGATATTTATATATGATTTAAGTTTTCTTTAATGGATAAGAAATAGTAACTAGTAATTTTCGTTTGGAGATAGGATGCATATTCAGCTACTTTTTTAAAAAAATTAATGGTAACAAATAAGTCTGATTGAAGACGAAAAAATATTTGTTGGATGCAAATGATTTATATGCGAAAGACTGAGTTAAAAATGTATAAAAACAATATTATATTAAAGTATTTAATTTTAAACTAAATTATAATTTTTAAGGATTTAACTATATCTATAATAACTATATCTAACCAATGGGTAGCAATAAAATATATTATGTATTATTAGTAATATTTTAAATGTAGTAATTATCTATTTTTTTATAAACACACTACTTTATACATATATATACACCCAACCGGGTAGCAATAAAATATATTATGTATTATTAATTAATATTTTGAATGTTGTAATAATCAGTTTTTTCGACAATATTTTTTTAATTTAATCCCAAAAAGTTTGTATCAAATTTATTTCATCATATTTTTAAAGTATTTTATTAAATCCTGTTTGGCTTTTAAAAATCCTTGATACCTTGAAATAAATAAAGATAAATATAGCAAATCATATTTATATGATAAGTAAAACTTGATAGGAAAATTTTTATGTATTTCGTTTTATGCAAAAATGTTTAACAACCGATTTTCAAGTAGAGAATTTATCAATCGTTTGATGAGAAAAAACGATAATCATTTAATTAGCATCTTCTGAAAATATTATTTACATTGGCACACATCACATGCGACTAATAGTAAAGAAAACAGATTAAAACGCAAATGGTTTATTTTATTGTCATTGTAACATGCATCGAATTCCAAGGTGGAATTAATTTATTGAATCCACGTGCAATATTTTTTTCGGTTTAAATTTAATTTCTGACTTATGCAAGCATTTGTAGATTATAAATATAGCATTGATTATAATGAAACAATGGTTTATGAGTTTAGTCTCGCAAATGAAATCATTTATCAAATGAAAATGCAATATACACAGACATGCAAATTGTGTATAGAATTAATTAGATTTAATTAATTAAAGTATTAAGCTATATTTTAAATTTCGTAGCGATAAACTAAATTCCATGCTCTATTATGCTGTATTTGTGTATACTGATACACACTTAGAATTTTATGATATTGCCATATTTATTTATTGGTGCATGAACACAAAGAGACTGTTATAAACAATATAGCATATTTCTGTTCAAATTATTTTGTGTTGAACTTTGAAAACGTTTGAAATAATCTGAAAATATTTTTGTTTCTCTGATGTAGTGCAATTGCCCCTGAATGCAACGTGCATTCTGATTGAATGATAATTTTGTCTAAGTCGGTGCAGAAACGTAGGCGGCTTTTAAGAATTCTTTTCAGTTTTTCATCCCTTGTGTGAAGCCCACCTTTGCTTGATATCAAGTATTAGTGATATCATATTTTCTTATGTGGTAGATCAAAAATAAGATTAAAAGTGAAAATAACCTTTTCAGGGTATGACCGCAATATATCAGTATTAGATAAAAGATCTAATAATAAAATTTCGTCATAGAGAGAATTGTCACCCGCTGGGTTGCACATTGTATAAAAAAATAATTTTGATTGCTACGGTAAGAAAAATATTTTTACCACAGTGAGTGGCATCTTTTTGGTTTATTTTTGGACCCACCACCACAGGGACGGATTCGTTCATACCGTGAATCATTAATCCATTGTTATGTATGTTCCGAGTCATCAAAGTTTAATTTTATACACAGTAGTAATCAGTTATTTATAGCAAAATGTATGTTATTGGGATATCTCAGCGGTTCATATGATATATATTTATCTATTAATAATCTTGATAATCTACTAAGAATCTTAATGCATTTCGCGTGGCAATTGCTAATTTTAGATGATTGAGCGAAAAATTCTTTGCCAACATGGTGTTCTTGAATTATGTAGGACTAACTAACTTGTAAAATTTAGTTAATTTTTAATTAAATGAAATTTGTATTTTTTGCGGACATAAGCGTTGAAATATTCATTATGTTTTACTCAAATTTATACAGTGCAATTGCTTGAACAGTTTTTATTTGTCTATTGGGGTATGTGGTTTTTACATTTTTTGAAAATGAAAATGTATTCCTAAAACGTAATAAAAAAACTTTCTTTGTCTATCGTTATTACAAAATAGTTCACACAATAGATTGCAAATGTGACAGAAATAGATATATATATATATATATATATATATATATATATATATATATATATTGCATAGTTTTATTGTCAATCAAAATAATATACATTTTTAAGACATTATAAAATATAAATTGACGTCAATTAAGTCAAATGAAATGTATATATAAAATATGAAAACTGTTTTTCATAATCTCTCATACCAGGCACCCCTGTCTGACTGAGATATGAAAATAATGTCTATATATAAACAAATAAAAAAAAATCCAAGGGTGTATATTCGCATTAAATTTGCACATTGAAAAAGTATGCATGTACTGTTATTTGGGTGTTATTTTTTAGAAGTTCTTCTATATAAAAATTTGCCTACATAATTTTTTATTAGTCTCATTGAAACCAATATTGATCGTTCAATGTTGTTTTTACGATAAGTATGAATTTAGTAATGGTAAGGTAATAATGTGGTTTTTGTACATGCAATATTAGTGGTGCATTGTGTCTTAAGGCAAATTAAAAAATCGTTATATGGAACCCCCAAAAAATGAACAAAGTTTGTACTCATTATTAAATTGTCTATAAAATATTTTTAATAATTTGATGCGAATATTTCCAATGATTATTTTTCACAATCGAATGGTATCTTTCTTAGACTTTTTTCTACATCTTTGAGACCGCTGGAACTACGGGAAGTTAAAAATTATTAAACAAAAAAAAATCTGTAGTTGCTACATGACTGAGTCACGTTTCAACACATAATTACGAAGAAACGGCCTGGCAGATCTTTTATCCTTGAAACAGTTTTTGAATGTCTGAATTTTTGAAAACCATTCAGAATTGTGGGCTAAACGTGGAGGAAAAATTATACCTGCTAATTATAAAGAAACGTCGCGTAAAACTAATCAACGCTATTTCGTATCGAGTTACATTGAATGGTTTTCAAATTTTTAAAATCGGTTCAGTCGTTTTGAAAAAACTTCGACGGAAGGTCGAAGAAAGAAAGATTTTTGCGATTACTATAATAATATATATTAATAATTGTTTGATTCTTTGATTGAGTTATAAACTAGAATCGTGCGAAAATGAACCCTAATAGTAAATGCAATCAGCAATTTTTTATTCAAAAAATTGACGAGAAATATTATTATTCAATGAATCCTATTTTAAAACTGTTTTTAAGTAATGGAAATTTTTACTCACTTGGTGGTTGTCCTTTTCGTTGTCTTTCTTCTTCTTCTTCAAGCATTCTCAAGACAGCTGAATTTGCTAAGTTGCCTGGCTTATCCACGTTCTTGTTGTGCATGAAGTCGATTCTGTTGGATATAATAATTAAAAATAACTTTCAGATTTGTATATAAAATACAATTTTTTAATAATATATAATTTGATATAATATATAATTTTGTAATATAAAATTATGTATTTCAAGATATCGGGGGCGCGCGCTTGATAAATAGAAATTTATTAAGAAGTTATGGGCCTTCTTTGATTTGTTTTTTTATTAAATATTTTTTATTAAAGTAAAATTTTTATAAAAGTAAAATTCATGTTTTATTACAAGGCCAGGAATATATGAAATAAGATTCAGTAAAAAACACTCACTGGCTGAAAGTTTGGTGAAAAATTATTAGATTATCTACTAAAATGACTATTATGAAATAGAGATTTGTGGATGGTGTGTGAAAATTTAGAGTAGTATGCATTTTTTAATTTTGCATTATAAAAATTAAAATTAAATAAAAATTTATTCCAAACTTTAGAAAAAGGTTAGGCGTAGATTCGAACTATAGAAAGGGGTAGGGGTATATTTCGAAAGGAAGGAGTAAAAAAGGATAGAGGTAGATTTCGAATTATAGAATATTAAAATAAAGAAAATTATCTCAAAATTTAAAAATATATTAGAGGTGGATAATCCTTGATGAAATTAAATAGTATTTTGAAGTAAAAAGAGTCGTATGTATTTTTCAATTCCACATTAAAAGAATTAAAATAAAAAAATGACCCCGAAATTAAAAAAAAATATTAGGGTTGGACAACCCTTAATACAAAAAATTGTAACTTAAAGTAAGATTTAAGCTTTTTCTTTAAGCCAAAAAATCTGAACTAAAATTTTGTCAAAAATATTCAGTGACTAAACGCGGGATAAAAATGATTTAATTACTAAAATGGCTTTAAAAATTAGGAGTTGGCGATTAAGAAGTAAAAATTCAGAATTGTATGTATTTTTAATGCCACATTATAAAAAAAAATCTTGAAAAAAAATAATAAGGGTTAACAAACCTTATCACAGCGGTATGAAAAACAGATAGTAGTCATTTCTCAGAAGGGTTCGTTCAAGTATTACGTAAGCAGATTTACTACAATTATTTACCCCCCCCCTCCCCTTTGTCATCAAAAGTAAGCAAATTTCTTACCAAAAATAGGCAAAATAAGCAAATCAATAACCCCCCCGCCCCCCTATAGTGCTTACGTAATACTTGAACGGCCCCGAATTATTGAATACAATTATAAAATTTGGTAAAAATCGGTAAAGCCGTTTCGGAGTAGTACGGGAACGAAGATTGTGATATGGAAATTTTATATAAAAGATACGTAATATATAATTTATTTATCTCATAACATTAATTAACTTGTAACTAATTATTATTCTAGTAAATTTTTCTAAAGAAGGAAGTTCTAGTAACTTTTTTGGTTTCACCTTCTTTAAATTGAGTTTATCAAAGCATTTTCGGTTCTCCTTAAAAATATATAAGGTTGTCAAATATCTCCCTTCCGCCTTTTTGTATTATAAACCAAGAGCAAAAAAGCGGAAGGGAGATATTTGACAACCTAATATTAAATTTTCTCTCTTTTTGTGAAATGCTGCGTTATTACTATATATCGATACTTTCATCGATGTGACCAATTTCAATTTATTTCGGATATTTCAGGATATGTAGATATATTATTATTTATTTAATAAGTTATTTAAATAATTAAGTTTTAAGTTTAGGTATTTGCACTATGTTAAGTTGACTTAATCATCATATGTAAAATGGCATATCGTACTTACAATTAGTAAGACTTATGGTAGGACATTAGTGATTATGGTATTGATGTATAGTTATGTATGAATTTTGTGAATAAAATCAATTTATAGTCCAAAGTTAAATAACTTCTGATCATAAATCAATAATTAAATACTTTGTTTTGAAAAGGTTTATAACTCAAAATTAGTTATGTAAATAACTCGAGTTTTATGAGTAAACATCAAAACTAATTTTATCTACCATCGTATGGGTCTATATATGTATGGTAAGTAATAGAACAGTCAAATAAATCATTAAAACTTGAAATAGTTGATTGCTTAACTTAATTATAAGTTATTTTGCAACAATAACAAAAAACATTGAATAAGAAAGAATTTTATTCGAGCATTCGAAGCAAACAGTTTTGCAAATTATTTATTTTTTACGCATAGCAATATTTTAAACCAAATTGATATGAAATTAATTTTTAATTGACAAGAAATTGATGCATTTTATAATCAACTTTGTAGTCAAATTCATCTAGGGCTTGATTTAGCATAGGAAGAATTTTGTTAGACATTTTACAATAAAATGTTGTAAAAAAAATGACGCATCTAATATGACAATATTATGCAGAACGGTTTACATGTCCAATCGAGATAAAATATAAAATGTAATAATCAGTTTGAAATGCAGTGACTCATTTTCATGATTAAAACAATAACAAAATCAAAGCAGTAAAAACAAATAAAACAAATGGTTTCTTGCGTGTCAGGTGTTAATAATCATGAAATATATAATCCCGACAATTTGTTTATAATAAATATATTCAAGGAAGGTGCATGCGACATAAGTTGTGCTCTTTTAAAAAGCAAATATTATTATAAGACATTGCAATCATTTCATTATCGATATAAGAAACATATGAATCATACTGTAGAAAATTGCAATTGAATAACGTAACATGATAAAATGCTGTTGATTATATAATTGTTATCTAATAATCGATGACAAAATTCTAAACGTGGAGAAAACTATTCAAATAATAAGTAGAGTTTTGATTTGCAATAGACGTATATAATTTTCAATTACCCATTAGAACACAAAAATTTACAGACACAATACAATTTTCTCTATGCGGCCTAATTATGATATCGGTTCTGATGGAACGTAAGAAACGAGTTATAAAATTGATAATGTTTTTACTTATTTATATAAAACTTAAGTAAATTTAGTTTTTGATAAAATATGAATCATATTGAAAGTTACATCAGGTGATATTTTTACAAGAAATTTTTTTGGTTTAGTTCATGAAATTTGCAATTTTATTATTGATCTTTTAATAAGATCTAGAATAAAATAAATATAGAAAAAAATTGATTATTATGTTTGACTAAAACATGTAGAAAATATTATGCAACATCACAGTATTCCATAAGTTTTTGAAGCTGCTAATTGGTATTGCCTATCATTAATTAGAACCTTGGATTTTAGATGCTAAATAATAACATAGGTCTATAAGAAAGGGAAAACGTCTGAAATTATACGATTTTAATTATCATGCAGAAGAATTGCTAGATCGGAGATTTTTCCGTTTCTTTACTTTTTTCAGTTTGTTGCTGTTTGACCCCCAATTTTGACTTCAGATTCGTGTTCAGCATTAAAAACTACATTGAATAACATATGCCGCACACCTAATACAGACAACTTTTTTTGTGAACCTGTGTAATTTTTTTACATGTTTATTTCAAACTATTCTGAATCGTTTGATATCAAAATTAGAAAATGCTTTGTATATTAGAGTGTGTATTTCAGTCAAAATTTGATATTTCGTCAAACTCGATAAGAGATATAAAAGTTGTTTAATTTAAAAAATGCATCAAAGTGCGGAATAATGGTCGAGTCAAAATATTAAGTTTGTCCATAAATGGTATAAGCTGATATATAATATAGTTATGATAAATTATAATAACTAAATTTTTTATGATCAGTTACGCCCGTGCAACCCAACGGTATGCAACGCATTATGACAATTTTATTGAGTGTTCTAGATCCAAATGCGGCCCTGGCTAAATTTCCTAAATTTCGCAATTTTGGTCTGAAATAAAATAATGTAAAATTATAATTTTTCATCATGTAACTCAATACTATTGGTTTTAGCATTCAATAGTGATGTAACGGTGGAGTTCATTCGTCTCGCGTCGAATTCCGACAGATCTAAATGCAGCGTCGTACCTCATAACGATAAAGTATTTGTGTTACTCTCTGTTTATTCAAATATTTTCGCACCTCGTTCATTGCAGACAGTTGCAAAACATCCATATGATGGACATTCGATAACAGGTTGTAAAAATGTTAACATTTTCATTTCTCGTTGTTAACACATTATCACTACCACATAGCTTGTACAAATAGTTTCTAGCTAAAGCTTTCTAAGCTTTTTTAGTTTTGTTTCTGTTTATACATTTTAGTTTCATAATAAATAAATTATTCATTTATAATGCAATGCATTGGCAATGTATTTATGTCTTAACAAAAATTAATTTTGTTATCATTATCACTATCACATAGCTGGTACGAATAGTTTCTAAGCTAAAGCTTTCTAAGTTTTTTTAATTTTGTTACTATTTATTTTAGTATTACAATAAACGATTTATTTATAATGTAGAGCTTTAGTAATATATTCATGTTTTAACAAAAATTAATTTTGACTTAAATGGGAGTGCTAATAGTTGAAATCAATTATTGATTTGATACGTGCAAAAATATTTTTGTGATGTTTGAGTAAGTTGAGCTTTTTTATTTAATGTAAATCATATATTTAAATCATGGCTGCTTAATGTTATTCAATAGTGTTGTAAAGCTTTATATATTACTGAATTAATCATGGATGTTTATTTTCAAGAGTGATGACTTAATTGAAATATTGAAATATTATAATTATATCTATAAAGCACGAGACAACATCGTTGATACAAATAGGCAAATATCAATTTTGAGTGGCGATAGCTGATTTTTATAACAATATATTTATATTATAACCACCGAAAACAAGTAATGTTAGAACTTTTTTAACAACAGTATTTGAAAGTAGAAGGCAAAAGATGTATAACCAGTGATCACCTTGATTTTTATGACGTCGCTATTAGGAGATAAACAGAAATGTCTAAAAAGTACAAAAGTATTTTCTCTAATTTTTAGTTTTATTTTTGGTTGTGAGCCCTGTTGTTTAGTGTACGGGACCTTAATATAATTTTTAATTATGCGCTATTTAATTGTTTTATGAGATAAATTATTATTTTCAT